TGTCATGATATATAGAGAACAGCTTGGTACGTCCTTATACTGCCGTTTGTCAACATAAATAGTTTCTAATTAGTTTTAGATAGACTTTAACGAATGTTATGATATATATAGAGAACAGCTTGATACGTCCTTATACTGCCGTTTGTCAACATTACATTTAGATATAAATAGTTTCTAATTAGTTTTTAGATAGACTTTAACGAATGTTATGATATATATAGAGAACAGCTTGATACGTCCTTATACTGCCGTTTGTCAACATTATATTTAGATGTAAATAGTTTCCAGTGAACTGTTGCATAAAACTGAACAAATCTGCTTACTTGTCTATAAATTGTAAACAAGCAACATGTAATGTTAGCTACGTGTTGTATAAATACGAAGAATGTGTTAAAATTGCTTAGAGGAAAAATAATCAAATGTTCAGCACTTATTTCAAACTATCTGTGAAAGTCGTTTGACCAAAACGTTTCCCACTCATTTAAGCCGAGCGTTGCCTAATGGCCAATGTACCGACTGTGAAGCTGATGTTCAGTGGTTCACTCATCAACAAAAATCACACTTTAGGGCCGTGATAGTGACATAATGGCGATAGTCAAATACCACTATTCGGTCCAACAACAGTAGCCTAAGAGTTGGCGGTTGGTGGTGATTATTGACTAACTGCCTTCCCTTTAGCCTATCATTTCAAAATTAGGAAAGACTAGCGTGGATAGCGTGCATTCTTAAGCGTCAGTATAGTGAAATAAAATAAATATTATTTGACAGTAGTTGTTACTGGTCTTATAGTAAAACGTCACAATGGAAATACTAACTTATTTGCCAATGTAGTATTCCATAGACTCATAACATGCTCGCCCTTTCAGTCGTGGGGGCGTTATAATGTGACGGTCAATTCCACTATTCGTTGTGTAAAAGAGTAGTCCAAGAGTTGGCGGTGGGTGGTGATGACTAGCTGCCTTCCCTCTAGTCTTACACTGCTAAATTAATATTGTGCGAAGTCAAACAAGTAAGCAAAGCATCAAGTTAAATTACTTTTCTTTAACACCCGATCTGCGAGTCAGAGAAACACGTGTCGTGGTTGATTCCCATACAAAGCTTTCCCGCACTCTCTTTTTTAATTCCGTTATCTAAATTGCCCACAATTGTAACCTAATTCGCACTATGAACCGTACAATTAGTTTTAACACTGCTAGTAAATGTCGAATCCTTTCCATTTAATATTGTTTCATAGCAACTTCTATTTTCTGTCTGTATGTTTTCAGTTAATCATAAAACATATTTTAGTTATTTTTTTATATTTTATTCAATAATATATGTCATATGTTAGTATAGCTACATAATATAAGTACACTATATTAGAACAATAATGAAACAACAATGATATTTTATACATTGTTGGAGACACATGCGACAGACTCGAGAGATGGAACATCACAATCAATTTTTAAATTAACGTATACTTCAATATTAAACAGTTTATATGTATTAACCCTGAAGAAGGTGTAAATGCGAAACGTTAGTAGTAATAAAAAAAAACAAATATATTTACATCTGGAGTGTAAAGGTCGTTTATCTAAATTTTTATCACAATGTCTAAATCCCTCCAGTATCTACTACAAACTTTGAAAGAAATTAAACTAATTTGCACTAGTTTCCAGACTATGACGGAGTAAAACCCATACTCCTATCTAAGTTCCCCCAAAAATACTCTGTAGTGGCTCCACATGTTGTGCAATACAAGTTCTGGTTCTTCAGCTCTATAAAGCCGTTTCCTCCATGGTTTTCGCGAGTTACGTTGATATAGATGTCCGAAAAAGACTGAGAAAGCTTACTTGCCGCTGTAAAGAGGCTAAATGCTGTACCTGCCCTAATATGAACACCTAAACTATTCTTTGCAAGTGTAACACAGTCTGACCAACTCCCTAGACTTTGCATCTTCGTGGCCAAATAGTACTGAGTTTTAATTTGTTGTTGTTATTGTTTTTTTATGAGTGAAATGTGTTTTTATTTGAGGTTAACAGATGAATCCCTTTGTCAGAGTACATCTTTTTTGGTTATAACTTAAATACTGGAAACTCTCAAATTCAATCTTATCGACTCGCAGACTGGGTGTTGAGGCGATTTTAACCGCTTCTCCGTGTTATCAAATTTGATCACGTTGTAGCTGCATTTGTTTGTTATTTGCATTGCTTTTTGGGTACATATTATATTTGTCCTACATTTCTGTTGTTTATCAATTTAGTGCTTAATCTTCATTTTGTGTGTATGTTTCTTTTTCTAATTCTAGGGGTCCTCCGAAAATTCTGTGGCACAAAGCCCTTCGAAGGATTCGAGATTCTAGTTTGAGTAACCAGGGAGCTTCGAGACCTGGAAGTGGGAAAGGAGCTTTACCGGAAGTGCACGTCATTCCAACTATTTCTTTGTCACTTAGTCAGATGTCATTGTCCGACGATATGTGTGGAGAACGAAACGGTACTGCATATGAACTTGTACAGCTGAACGAACGCAGAGAGGTCACCACGGAATTATCCAACAACACAAATAAAAAACTGACTAATTCCTTTCAAACTGTTTCTCTTAATCACATATCTCCAGTAGAAATCATGCCAAATAAATTATCAACCAAAGCAGAAACAGCAAGTGAGGAAAAGGAGGAAGAAATGCATAAAAATAACTTTGGAGAACTTCCAAATTCAGCTGATTTAGTAAAAGAGAATACAAAAATTCATTTCAAACAGGGCTTTATTTACCGGGGAATTATTTTTCCGCGGCTGACAAACAGTTTCAAAGATCGACATCTAGAAGTAGCCTACCAAAGATACTCTCACCGTCAAAGACAGAAATCACTTATTATTGTAAATTTAATCGATATTGTGTTAAAAGTATCCCTCTTCTTATCATATATTTTGCGTCCTAACAACACAACCTTTCCTAAAAGGGAAATTCTCATAAACGTACCGTGGCTAATAGTTAACATTATTCTTTGTCTTCTAACGTGTTGGAAATGCTTCGCTAACAACTACTTACAGTGGGGAGCTGTCTTTACGTTTCTAGTATTATTTGTACAAGGTAAGTTGTCCTCGTCATCTCTTAATACCAGGAATTCACATGATTGTAAAGGAATCATATACATATATTTGTGTGTGTGTAAGTGAATAAACTATGTTTATTTCCTTGAGTTTATTAGCCTTAAAACTAATCTTTAATCACAAATATTATACATTTGCAATAGCATATAATGAAATATTATGGTTTATGCGAAAGTACAATCGAACATTTTAATGTGCTTCTTTAACAGGTTAAGCTTTGTCACTGTCGTAATATTTATATTAATCAAATACTGTCATCCAAAATGTTTATAAAACCTTGTTAGGTTTTTGTTCAGTAGAACTGAGTTAATCAATTATACTATAATGATTTCCAAATGGGAAAAGTCCATACTGAATAAAATAACTATTAAGATGTTTACTTACGAAAAACAATCTAACCATCTTAATTTAAAATTGATGATTTTTTATTTATTATTCTTCTTTCTTACAGATCTTGCAAGTCATATATCGTTTCCGCTGTATTTAAATATGTTTATTAGTTTTTGCTGCTGTTAGATTTAAACATCTACAATAACTCTTAAGACAATCTATTATGAAAACGCAATCACAAACGCTTCAAACGAGAAACACTTCTATTGCTATTCTAAAAATCCCTATCTTTCCTTTCTAAAAAAAATGAAGTAAAGAATCTAAAATTTTACGACTGTTTATGCTACATGATATCAGGAAACGTTTAGCTTATCTATGTCGTAAGATTGTCATAAAATTGTATATGTGAATACAAATTAAGTTTGACAGGTCAAGTTTCTGTCTTTTCAGAAATGAGAAACATCAACTTCTGGTGTTAGGTTTATGTCCAAAAGAGTATAAATTGAGACTGAGTGGAAGTTAAATCTGTTTCGCCGTTTTATAGCTTGTTAAGACAAAGCTATTTATCACTTATTCAAAATGTAAAAGAACTGCATAAAACGATTAATTTGCTGCTATACATTGTGATATTAATTACAGAATAGCGTACTTTTTACGGGAATGACTTATTTGTAGTATGTCACGTAAATATGTTTATTATTAGTCACATGTTATGTGAAATTAAACTTTATATTTCAAAGAAAGATTCTGACTAAGCCTCTAATATCGCAGATACACGAAAGCGTACTAAGAACAAGATACACAAGAAATGAAGCTGGATTATCATTTTATCAAGAACTATGGCTCGAAACGTCACAAATTGAACTTTATTTGAAAAAGTGAGCTTTTCATATTGCCTTATCATCTTGCGTGCTGTAAAATGCGATAAAAATAACTTTCTCATCATAACAAAGAAATATATCTTGTACTGATTCACTTGATTCTGAAAGTACCATTGTTGCTTTTATTACTTAAAAAAATGCTTCGCCAGAATGAGATTTTACCCGTCAATGAAAATTACATCTAGTTTGCATTTAATTCTTAACAGGGAAGAAAAGTCAATTTGTCAAAACAGCATAATTATTATAATTAGCAGAAATACCCGTCCTGGGCAGGTATAACTGCTGGTTCCTGCGAAAGCTATTGGGCCTGCAGCCTTTTCTGGAATTGTCTAAAGGTTCTACAATTTACTCATACTTGATATTCAATAATGTTCGCCATTCATGAGAAAAAAGGGTTTTATTGAAATTTTAGTTTTAAAATGAGCTATCATCACAGAGTAGATTTTATTGAAGTATTTCTTTTTAGGCACAGTTATCAATGAAAGTGCCTTGTTTTTCTGTTGCAACACTCATGAGATTTGCACTAAAGATAAAAAATTTTTTAAGTTTGTTTTTGATTGTTTTATATTTAAAACTTACTCCTTTTGGTTTTTTATTTTTATTGATTAAATCTGAAACATATCAGTTTTGTGGAAATTTCATTTGTTTTATTTATTGCTCAGCTACAAAAATACTGCCTAGTTATAAAAATATTACCCAGTTATGATTGGTGATGATCGATGAGGTAGTTTCCGAGAACCTAGTTATGGACGTCACATCGCAAGCTCCATTATAATAAGATTTATTCTCTAAAACTCATATCGAAGGTAAACGATATGGATAAGAAGCTTGCACGATAATACGCCACATTTATATAAGCAAGCTATTTTAGCAAGCTATTCGACCAAACGTTTTAATACCTTTTTTGTGTATTCCCACCTGTCCTTAATCGTTTCTTCCATGCTTGGTTATTATTGTTTTTGTTTACTAGTTTCCATGTATTACACACAAATGTAGTCTATTATTGTTGAATAACATGCGTGTGTCATCTAAGCGTTTACATCATTGATGTATAATTCAATATTTGTGTCTGGAGTTCCTGTTAGAATATTTCTCCAAATTTTGAGTTTTTGCGTGGAGTATGTGTAATATATTATTTATTGTGGAATTTTGGACTTACTTTTAAGTAGAATTTGAAATGGTACTACTTTGCCATAGTTTATCTTTTGTCTGCGAATGATTTTGAAGTTCAGCTATAATTTTTAATTGTCAGATGTTTTGTAGTAGAACTTTTCAAGCTTTTGATTGCTTACTCTTTAACTAATTTAACTAATAGTGTATTTTAGTAACAGTCCAATTTCTGGAAAATTGGCTTGTTTGGTTATTTCTTTTGTGATTCGATCACTATCTTATTGGAACACGTTCAGTTTTTCGCCTAATACAGTGTTTAGAGATATATTTCTTGTCATTCGACTTCTGGAATATCTGACCTATGATATGTTGAAATATTTGTATAACCATTCAACCACTAATACGTTAGAACATTTCTTTAGTCATGCATTACTCTCTTAAAATATCTGTTTAAAAATTCAAACACTGATACACTATAACATCTCTTTAGCTATACATTGCTATGGTGGAATATCTGTCTCACCATTTAACCTCTAATACACGAAAACATCTGTTTAGCCATATATTATCATGTTGGAATATATGTGTAATCATTTAACCACTAATACACTAGAATATTTTTTAGCTATTGTTATGTATTAGAATTTCAAATCGTCTGAAATTGAGTTAACTGATAGATTTAAATTTAATAGTTAAATTATACTTTGGATTTAGTATTTAAATATATGTCGATATAATGTCAGTTTGTGATATTTGCCAACAAAATTTATACACACAGTTTTCTTTTTAACACAAATAGGTTTTAATATACACACAAAAATACAATTTATAATAACAGTTCTTACAAATAGTTATTACAAACAATGATTTATAAACAAAAGTTTCACAAACTTACAAGCAATATAAAGTCTTCCTTTTAGTCTGGAAGTTCTCCGATATACTATCGAGGGTTCACGATGAGTGAGTTGATTACGAGTTGACGTAAGTATAATTCACTTAACAGGGAGCTAGCTGGCTTTGTCCTTCGTTATTTATCAGCCACACACGTCGAGTTTTCCACGATGAATGTATAT